GAAAAATCATGTGCATAACTTCTCAGGAAATGACTTGCAGAATGAAAAATAGAAAATGCAATCCTACTTTCTAATTCTTTTCTATAACACCACAAATAAACTGATATTGCTGTGCTACCGCTGTGGAGGGCCCTAAGCTTATCAGTTTGTGATTTTTCAATGATGTTGATGTAAAAAGGTGTTCAGTCAGCAGCTGGAGTTCACCAGCTGAGTGCTCTCTGCCTTTTAGCAGTTGTCAGATGGTGCTTAATTATATTGCACTGCTGTGGGCATTTGCTGCGTGCTGTAGACAGCTGCAAAAAGTTGAAAAATACTAGCAGAAAACACTAGCAAATTCATCTAAATATTAAAATTGCTTTCTTTTAGGGGCATCTGGTTCTGGTCAGAGGAAAAACAAGGGTGGTAAAGTAAGCCCAACCAACTTTTCTTCCTCTACTCCTGGCAGTCGACTGGGTGGTAACATAGTTCTGCCAAATGGAGGGCTGACAATAAGGGACCCTGCCACTGGAGCCCAGTATGTGCAAATTCAGCTTCTTCAGGTAAGAGCTGAGGAGAAAAAAACATGCTCAGCTTGTCTGTTATCCACATTTGCTTTTATGGAAGACTTTGAGTGTTTGTGAACTCAGGTAATACTGTCCCTGGATAGAGTCTTGAGCTCTGCAGTATTCTTACATTATTCCACCTCTTATTTATAAAGTAAATGAGATGGACATGAAAATGTTCCTGCAAAAAGAATTTTCAGCCTAAACTGTTATTTCTCTTATCTGTTGAAGTAAAGCTTAAAATTTAAAAAAGACAAAAGCTGTTAATTGGTGGGGCTCATTAGTGGTGCATGGCAGGTAATAGGTTTTTTGCCTGGTGTGTCTGTGTAGTATTCAGAGGAAAGATAAGTTCCTTCTTCATTGCTGCTCTGTTGTGGAGAGACCTATGGGCTGAGTTCTCTGTTGATCTGTGTTTTGATGGGTGTGCACATTTGTAACTTTCATGTTAGCTATCAGCTTCATGAAAACATGATGAAACTTGTTGCATGTTTCTGTGTTAGATTTGTTGAAAGGGGAACCCTTCCTTCCTCTTCAGATCTTGCCAGTGTTCCAGGTTGATGAGGATGGGATAATAGGTTGTACACTGAGCTAGGTTCAGATTTAAGTTGTTTTTAGCTTTCCACATCTTTCTGGAGCTGGGCCTTACTAGTACAGTGCAGTGGCTTTATCAGATATTTTAAGATTGTGGGACTGAGTGAAATTTGCCATATTGTGCTGAGATAGCTGGGTGTGGTGTAACTTGATCGTGTTTCTGCATTCACAGGATGATTCCCCAGGAGAGGGAGATCTTCCCTTTCAGCTGAGCTCTCAGTCTTCCTCATCACATTCTCAGCTTACAGTGGATTTACCTGTTTACATACTTCAGGTACAGCATGTCAAGCCACTGGGTTTTATTGCCTTGCTTGAACTTAAAGATAGTTCACTGTGAGCACTCTCATGTTCTGCCTGATGGAAATACCTTGTTTTCCATTGGGAGTTGAATTCCATTCACAAGGAATAGCAAGCAGAGGGCTGCACTGCACAATGTATCTTGTGTCACCAACCTTTGACACATCAGAAGTCGTTGTTCTTTTCCTCTGTTACTGAGTAATGAATAACTAAATGTTACTTCTTTTTTTTTTCTGAAATGCCCCACCCTTGCTTTCTGATCCCATCCTGCAGATAGTAGGTGGGTCAGGAAAGAGGATCAGAATTGGAATGTTGCAGGCTACAGAAGAGGGGGTGTGGGAAGTGGGAAATAGAATCTTGAACCTAGATTTTGGAGTGGTGCCCTTATGGAAGTGTCAGTTAAGTTTAGAAGCCTGCTTAGGGACCTCATTTTTGATAAACTCTGCAATGTACCTATTCCTGCCAAGTGGGTTTCTCCTGGATAGAAAATAAATCTTTTTTGTTGAGGAGGGGCACTTTCCTCAAAACTTATAAGTACAAGAGAAGTGGGACTGTTGGCCATGGTAGAGAGGTAATGGAGGAAAAAGTGATTTTAAATCTGTTTCCATTAGTAATGCTCATCTGAAGTATTCCATAGAAAAACTGTGGCAACACTGTTTTGGAAGGGCTTTGGGTTTCCTCTGAGCCATTCCAAGTATTTCTCTGGTGTTAATCTTGAATAAATGTCAAGATAATCTTGCTGATAAGCACTGAAGCCATCTAGAAGTGAAAGTAGTTCATGCTGTCTGTTTGCTTTAACAGGAACCACACAATTCCACTGAAGATGATGCAGGTTCTGATAACTCTCAGTTCACTGGAAGCACAATAAATTTACAGGATCTGGAATGACGATTATTAAGAGCAGTTACTTGAAAACAAACAGCAATCATGACAGAGTGAGATTACTGTGTGGATCTTTTTCCAAGGAAAATACAAAAAGTAGGAGAACTGAAGTATGGTTGCACTCTTTGTGATTTGCTTAAGACAGTTGCAGCTGAAAGATTTTCTTTAAAAATGTAAATCCCACTTGATGTGCCTGTGTAAGATACCCTGTCTGCCTGGTGGTTGGGAGGCTGAGGCAGACTGCTGTACAGTGTTGTTTCAGGGAGAAGTATACTTTATTACACTTCAAACTGAGGTAATATTTACTGTTTTCACAGGAAAGCAAGTATTCTACAGCTAACAAATGCAAATTTATAATCCTGCCTGCGACAGTTAAAACTTTCCTTCCATTGGCCTCCTCCTGAAGCCAGTGGCATCAAGGAATTAAGAGCTAAATTTTGCAAGTGTTTTCCATACAAAGAAAAGGATTTGTTTTGGCCCCAGTGTTTGGCAGAAAACCAGAATAAAGTGTCACATGTAACAAAATTAATATTTTATGCCATGAAAATGAGATGCTCTAAAATCTTTGTTTTAGAAAGCTAGATTCTAAATGTTAACTTAGCTGTGAATCAGTTTGTAGCTCATGTTGAGTTCTCCTTTTCCTTGCTCCTGCATCCCAAATACTTTGCTGAATTCTTCCAGCAAAACTTGAAAAAGAAAACTGCAATAGAACTGCACTCACTGTAAGTGATTTGCTAAGAGTCCAACAGCATCTGAGAGAGGTTTGTTTTATCTTTGTGTTCCCTTTTTTGGGAGGAATGTTGACCGTCATGTAAATTTAAGCACCTTGATTTTTATCTCATCTATAAACGCGCTGCCAAGTTACCTGTGAACTGGTCACTACCTTTTTATTTAGGATTGTTTGATGTTTTTGTTTTGTTAATTGAACACTGTTAACACCTGTTCTTTATTGCTATCCCAGAGTGTCAGATGCACCTGGAGGTTTTGGCTGGTTTACAAAATATGCAGTTGTCAGAGTATTTTATGAGAGGAAGAGTTGTTGCCCAGGAAGATTTGCCCCTGAAAAACTGCAGTTTCTCTTGGGGGTGGGGGGAGAGGTTGTATGTACTCTACTTACCTGGATTGCAGACACCTAAATAAGTATAGGGTTGTATAGGGGAAAAAAAACACCTTTGGTTACGTTTTAAGGTAGTAATTTAATTGTTTCCTATGGTGATGTTCTGAATGCCTGTAAAAGTATGTATAGGAGTTTGATAAAAGACTGTTTGTACCTTTTTTTTATTCTCAGTGAGGTGTGTGTATGCACGTATGTGTATTTTCTTTTTTTTTTTTTACAAAATAAGATATGTCACAGAGGAGAACGTTGTGATCTTTTTAATCTTGCACATATTTATTTATTTTACAGTTATACTGATGTTAAATTCACATGAGGTCGTTCAGAAATGCTTTTACTTCCTGTGCCTTTTGAACTATGTATGTGTCCATATAAATGCTTTTTTGATTGCAGACTTGGAGAGGAAAAAAGCATACAGTGAACTTCAGCTCCTGATTTGTAGGCAGTGTTATATCTCTGGTTGAACCAGCTTTATTTTTCTATCTTTAGCCTAACTGAGCATTGAGGTCTCTCTGTTCCTCTCACTCTGAGTTTACAGCTTACATCCAGGGAAGGTCTGAACCCTCTCAGGCTGGCTTTTCAAACCAGTTGGTAGCTGAGATCTGCCTGGTGGCTGTGGCTGCAGCACTCCTGGGAGGTGGAAGGATTGAGGAGGAATTGTGCTGAAGGGTCACCGTGCTCTCCCTGGAAGCTGAGACACCTCGAGCTCCCAATGCCTGCATTATTCTGTTCTCAAGGACCATACCAGTTTGTAATCCATTAAAATGGCCAAGGAACACTCCATCTTTTTATGGGACTTGCAACCAAATCTTTCTACTTCTGAAAATGTACCTCACTCAGCTTTGTAAGTGAATGTAAAGTGCTAACCTCTTGAGGGCAGAAACTTGGATCACTTGGCTAGGGCTCCATTGCTGGCAATGGATACCTGAAGAACTGCTGGTGCAAAAGGGTTAATAAAGCTTTTTTTTTATGGTTAGTTTGTCACTGGGCATTGTTTTTCGCATGGATGCATCTGAAACAAAGCTAGTACTGGCAGTTTGATTTCTGCAGAGAGCTTGTTGTTTTCCTTCAGTTGTGTCTTCACTGTAGTGGGGTAGAGTCTGTAGTGGCTTTGGATTGGAGCATAGCCCTTGGTTTTTATAGTCCTTCAGAAGACCTGTGATTATCGTAATGATTATCATAAATGTCTGTGAGGTACCTGCCTTAGCTGTGCCTTAAAGACTGTCACCTAGACTGTCTCCTAGAGTAGATCTCACTGCTCAGGTTTTTACAGATAGTGCTATTGGAATCAAAAACTGAATGAGAAAAGCACTGGTGCTTAGCAGGAGCTTGAGAAGCAAAATGAGAGAATTTTTATTTATTTTCTTAGGCAAAATACCAAAGGAGAGGAAAAGGGGTTGCAAACTTTCCCTGGAATCTTAGGGTAGAAGAAGGAAATTTCATGGGACAGCAAAGTTCAGCTGAGCAAAGACTGACAGAACAGTACATCTAGGAAAGACTTCTAGAACAGCATCAGCCCTATGAGCTGTGATAAGGCTGTGCCATCAGGAGAAATAATGCAATTGTTTTCCTTCTTATCTATTTCCTTGGCTGTTCTTCCTGGCATGTGGGTTGGAAGGCAAGGCCATTGTCTTGTAGCTCTGCAGAGGAGGAAGAGGCACTGCATCAGTGCTTGGCAGGGTGTCTGACCAGGCAGCTAAAACTGCTCTGTGCTGCTGGGCTGGGAGGGGCTGTGGCCCTTGCCCTGTGCTCTAGGCAGGCTGAGGGTGTCTGCTGAGTGTGCTTTCTGTGTTGGAAAGTGAATGTGAAGCACCTGAAGGCTGTGTGTGTGCTCCTGCTTCAGCTTCTACAACTCACTGTTGTACCTACAACTGCTTTCTGACTAAAGCCTCGTTAGTCCTTGCCAGGAAGAGGAAGGAAACTTGGAAATCCAAAGTATCAGAGGGAAGCTACAGAACCCTCTATTTTCTCTTGGCTAAAGGGGCAGGGACTCATGGAAACTTGGAAATCCAAAGAAATATCAGAGGGAAGCTACAGAACCCTCTATTTTCTCTTGGCTAAAGGGGCAGGGACTCATGGCCCCTGCTCTCAAGTCACCTGTGCTGTCACTGTGACAGAACCGGGGTCTCCTCATGGCCATGTTGATGTGGGGAAGGTGCAGCAGCCATGGCAGAAGCTCTGCACTGTGCCTCTCAAGGGGCCAGAGCTGAGTTCAGGAGGATGTGGAACATGTCAGAAAAGGTGTGGTTTGATGTGGCTGAGCTGATCTAGGGCCTTGCTGCTGTTATCAGGAGTATCCTGCTGCTGCCCAGTTCCTCATTTGCCAACTTTTGTGCTTGGTTTAATACAACCAAGGTAATGAGTTGAAATGAGCTTACTGAGAACTGGCAAGTAGTGGAGGGGGGCCATGTGGTTGAGAGAAGGATGATGGAAGGACGCTGAGCTGGAATCATGTGCACTGTGACTGACTTCCCAGCAGTGGCTCAAGTTACATCACTTCTGTAAACTGGGATACACCTGGCTCTAGGTGCCACCCCCACACAGCTGTGGAGGCCCCTTAGGAATATTTTCCCTTGAACACCTGAGATTCAGGTACCCCAGCTCCTCCAAAGTGAGCTGTTGAGGTGAGGTGTTTCCACAGACCACTGCACTTACCTTTTTTTCTTCAGGTACCTGTGATCTTTCCATGTCCCTTTTCAGTCCCTCATCCTGCTGCTGCTTCGCTTGTTTCTGCTTTTCCTCTCTGAGCCTTTTGAAGAGAGGAAATAAAGGTTGAGTTAAATGCAGCTATACCAGCTGTGCTTTTGACACACAGCATCAACATCTAACATAACATCTTACACCACACCTTCCATCTAACCAGTGGAGCACAGGGGTTGGGGTGCACCTGCTGCTGGAGTTGGTTGCTGTGAAGGGTGAGAAGGAAGCACTGCAGGTGCTCCTACTCTGCCTGCAGGTGGTCCTACTCTTTCTGGAGTAATGGATGGGTGGAAAAAGCATCTCTTTGACACAGAGATGCTGGGCAGTTCTGTTACAGACATGCTCTGCACCCCCTTCAGCAGGTGACTTAAGCCCTGCAGCTGAACAGCATGCTCCCCAGCCGTGGGGAGGGTGGTGCTTGTTCTCTGCCCAGTTCTCACCAGTGTAACCATGTCTGTGACTCACAGGTGTGAGCTGTTACACCCACTGCTACACTTGGCCCAGAGGGGCACACTGGGGGTCAATTCTGTTGCTCCAGTTCCCTATGAAAATGAAGTGCTGGAACAGAAATGGGCTCAAGCTATGGAACACTGGTGCAGAGAAAATGCAGCGTTAACCATGTAAACATGAGGAAAATGTTTATGCTTTTTGTAGGGTTTGTTGTGTTTTGGTTTTGTTGGTGTTGTTTTGGTGGTTTTTTGGGGTGTTTTTGTGTTTGTTTGGGCTCTTTTGGGGTTTTTTAAAAAAAAATTATTTTTATTTGGGGGTAGGGTTTGTAGTATCTTTCCTGAATTATTCTCCTCCATTCCCAGCATAGAATAAATGTTTGTCTTATTTATTTTGCAATTTAAGAGTGAAAACCTATTCATAGAACATCAGGAAGAAGCACCATAGCTTTTCTACTACACAGCTGAGTAACGATGCAGAGAAAGAGAATAAGCAGAACCAAAACGTCACTGTCTGGCTTTAAATCCTCATGTTAATCTGTCTGATCCACTTGAGGATGGCCAGATACAGTCATCAGTTCAGTTATCTTTGTTATTTGTGAGGTGAAATTTTGTGTAACTGGGCTTACAGGAACGTGTCTCATCTTGGGACTTACACTGACTGTGTTAATTGCTACTATTTAATCTAATAATACAAATTAAACTTAAAAGTTTTGTTGAAGAAATATTTCAAAGCTGGAGTTGTTGACAAATGCCCTTATGTATATATTAAAGTCTGACAAAATATCAGGGCAAGGCAGACTGTGTTAAATTGAGGTTTAATTTTCTATTTATTCAGTTTAAATTTTGCTACTGTAAATTGTTTTCTTAAAATGATGATTCTCAGAATCTGGGTTTTTTTGTGGGTTTAGTGTTTTCTGTTTTCTTCTTCTAGATTTTTCTACTGTAGTTTGCAGATCTTTTCTAATGAAGCTGTGGGCTGCAGCTCACTGAGGAGGAGATGCAAGTACTGTGAATGTAGAACTCTTACAGAAGTAAAATTGGATGGATTGCTTACGTGGGATTTCAGATTTCTGCTACAGTTTTTGGGTTGATTTGGCTCTTTCAGCTGTCAACATTTAAAACAGAGATGTTTTCCAGGAGCGGGTCTTGCCTTACCTTGCCCTCTGTTCCTTTCTTATGTCTTTCACAGCCTTTTCTATCTTTGCTGGTGGGATTCTCTCCACGCTGTCCAGTAAATCATTGAGCTGTTTTTCTATTACCTTTAACATCTCTACTGTTGGCAGGTTTGTCTCATTGTCTCCAGTGCACTGGAAATAGACTTCCTGCACCTTCTTGTTCAGACTTGTGAGCATTTTGTCCTAGAGGTGACAGGAGATATGGTGAGTGACACAGCTGGGTTCTGCCAAGTGGAACCATAATATCCCTCCAAAACCAAAGGAAATCTCTGAAGGAAACACTTTAATCCCCTCAATAAGACTCAATTGCTTGTTTCCTGGTTGGCTAACAGCAATGGCAGGAACAGATGGCTGAATTGAGCCATTCTCCTGTTGCTCATCTTCCCAGCTTGGCTGTGACCTGGGTCAGGTGGCTGCTGCCCAGCTGTCTCTGGGAGCCCTGCTCCCACCTGGCAGCAGCTGCATGGAACAGACAGCTTTGCCCCAGTTTGCTGCCTCAGCAGTGCCCCAAACCAGCCTTGCTGTAGCTCCATTGCTGGGACAGCACTGATCCCTCCTCAGTGCACCCCTGTGTGCTCCATTCCCAGGATGGATGTGGATGGGGGAGAGGAACCACTTGTGTACATGTGAACCCCCTTTGCTTGGATCCCAGCTGTACCTGGTCATCACCTTCGTCTTCCCCAGAAGAAAAGAGCTGAACTTTGAGCTTTAGATCAGCTACTTTCTCTTCTTCCTTGGCCACGGAGGCTCGGAGGGTGTTCACCTGCTCTTTCAGCGCTGCCAGCTCCTTTTCCCTAGAGGGGAGAGAGAGAGGAGGTGTTTGGGAAGGGCACCTCTGGAACACACGCTCTGCTCTCCGCAGCCTGGGCTGGTCCCTCCTGCTGCCGGCAGATGGAGGTAACACTTCAGCCTTTCCTGGAACTTGCACCCACGGCCCTGAAAACACTGGGAACTTCGGGGTTTCTTTATGGAAAAGCAGCTGCTGTGCTGGTGTGGGGGAGGGAGAAGCAGCATTGCTAAACATTCAAGGTTTTTTGGTAAGTCAGTGGGGGATCCAGATTATGTTTAAAACTTCACCAAGGAGCTAAGCTACATTTTAAACAGGAATATATGTCTACCTGCCATTGACACTGTAGATTACAATGACACTTGGGACACTTGGGTTCCCTGCTGTTTTCCTCTAGGAAAGTCTTGCACTGAGTCAGCATTGGTGCTGCTCTGGATCACTCCAGGAATTGTCTTATTTCCTTCTTTGCTCTTCCTTCATGAGAATTACACTATACTTACATTGACTCCAGGATGCTTAATGCATCATTCCCTAGCCTGTGCCTTGACGACTAAGGAATTAGTCTGAAGCTCAAGTCTTATCTCCTAAATTAAGCATGTATGGGACACTTTCCTAGTAGCTCAAAGAAAGACCCTGCTGTGTGAACAGCATTACATGCTCTGCAGTGTGTGCATGATGGTGAGGTGTGTGGGGGCAGAGGGGTCACTTATGTCTGAAAGCTGGACCAGAGGGACCCCTTCCATCACCTCAGGGTCACACTTACGTGCTTTCACGTGTGGTGATGAAAGTCTGTTGGACCTTGTTCCAATTCTCCGCAATATCCTGGGAGTTCAGGACAAAGGATAAGTTCTCATCCAGCATCTCCATGAAAGTAGTAAGCAATTGTTCAGGATCAGTAAAGTAGAGCTGAGGCTCCTAGAGTGGAAAACACATGTGATGAGCCTTTCCCCTCCTCTAGATTCTGTTCCACTGAACTACAAGGAGGTTGGTCTGCACCAGCTCTGGCTATTCAAATGTTCTTCCATCTAGAGAGGTCCATGTTTGTCCATGTGCAAACATACACGGACATCCTTCCTACAATGTGTGTGGCCTTGCTGTGCCTCAACAGCTCACCCCCAAAACAAATTGCATTTTGGGGGTAACAAGTGTTGCAACCATCTGTGAGTGGGAAAACTTCAGACATAAGCCAGTAATTACACTAATTTAAAAATCTTTCATTTTATGATGTCATTTCTCACTGGAGGATGGCAAGCTTAGAGTTGATGGTAGGACTTTGGAAACTGAAGGAGGAAAATTAAACTAAGGTATTTATAATATGTATCACCAAATGTGAACATTCAGGAATAAACATACATTTATAATTTGTAACTACAGTAACTCCTCCAAACTGTAACTAATGGTTAGAAGGTGAGGGAAATTAGTAACATTGATAAGTGACACAGGACAAACAGAAAATGCAAATATTTCAACTTAAGACTTCTGACCTCATCTTCATCCGAGCTGATTTCACTCTCTGCATCCTCCAGTGAACTTCTGAAAAAGCATTTTGTGTGTTAGGCCCTTAGAGCAATGACAGCTCAGAGGGGGTTCATTAGTGACATAAGAACATTGTTATTGTTCACTGTCACTGTTTACTCCTCTGCACATTCCCACCTTTGCCTCTCTGTGCCTGTGGGATATTTAAGGGTCAGTAGGGTCTAGGGGTCACACAAACAAGCAGCACAGGAGCTACTTCTGTCCATGAGCAAGCTGCCTTTTGTGCTGCTCTGGGCTGTGCTGGCCAGTGGGGCTGGAATGACACATGAACTGTGGGTGTTGATCCAAGTGCCTTTAAACTCACTGGGAGTGAGTTTAATTCACTCATTTGTTTAACGCTTCCTCCTCTACACAAGTGCTGGAAGAGAGGGAAGCGGTGCTTTGCTGCTGTTGGCAGCTCAGTCTGCTCATCACTTTCACTTGTACCTGTCACCCTGTGCCATGAAGGGTTAAAAACCTCTGTTTGCATTGTCTCAGTGACAGCCCCACTTGGGACAGGCTCTCAGCAGAGGATCTGAGGAGGGAGCTCACTTGGAGCAGGCAGACAGGTACTGACTTGCACACCTGACAGCTTTCTGTGGTATCTGAGTTTGTTCCAATAAGCCCCAGATCTTGGAATGCCCAGCCAGAATGAGCAGCAGGATTCCCCTCTACTGATTCCCAGTCAGCTGAGTGCTCTTTTCAGTCCTTAAGTGTGTTGTTTGCATCATCTGGTACTTACAGATCTCTGGATAAAAGAGGCTTCAGGAAGTGTTTAAGCTGTGGCCGGACATCCCGTGACCTGAAATCCAAACTTTCTGAGAACAGCAGGGAACTTGGTATATCCGTAAAAGTGACACTGTGGGCAGTGTCTGTGGGACCCTGGTCTGGAGACAAGAGCAGGTGTCCACTTAGAGCCAGGGTCTGTCCCAGGGAGCAGCAGCAGCACTTTGCTGGCACTCACCCTGCTCTGTGGTGGAGAGATGTGAAGCACTTCCTTCATTCCTGGATTTTGTTTCCTTATCCTTTTCTTTTTTGTGCCTTTTTCTGTGTTCCTCCTGCCACTCTTTTGGAGATAGCTGGTAGAGGATGTCCCTGTACATCTTGTACTCCTGCAGTGTGTCCTCAAATCTGGAGATGTCACTGGGTTGAGAGAAGTGGACAAAGTTTGTTAGCAGGGAGGGAAGCTTCTGTTTGAACAGGTTCTTTCTCACTCTTGATACTCAGTTTCATCCAGAGAAAGGGAGAGGGGGCACATTTTTTCACGGATATGCAAAGGCAAAAGGGAACCTGCTCTCTGTGGTTTCTCGTGTGGAAACTGAGAATCAGTCATATTCCCTCGTCATATCTCTTGCTATGGTACTGAGCTTGCTAATTTTTGAATTTTTACTTGAAAAGCAGTGAGAATTTTTTCCAGCTCAACTCATAATTGTAATTATACTTTTTTTTTGTCTTTCCCTAGGTCCCCACTAAAATGCATTGCTTAGTTTTGTTTGGATTTTAATCTGATATTTGGCATTTAATTTTGGGGTTGTAATATCTTTACTTTTTAAAAAATGTAATTGGAAAACTAGATGAGTTGTTTTAGAAACAAAGCCAGCATCTTGAAAAACAAAAGCCAAAACATTTTGACTCTTTAAATTGCACATTTTTAGAAATCTATCCCCTGCAAGGACTGTGAGGCTGTAGCACTGTAGGGGCTGTTGAAGGTAAGACAGGAGTAATGAGCAACCTTACCTTTGGATTTTCTTTATTTCAGTTGTGAGTCCCTGGATCTCTGTTATTTTCTTTGTCTTTGCTGAGGTTTCTCTTTTGGCTCTAGGAAAGGATGTACGAACAAGCCATTAAACAATTTAGTACTGAGTAGTGAATTGAGGTGCCTATGAAACAGTGAAAAAAATGTGATATGAGCCCTAGAAATCTGTGTTGTAGATGTATCCCAGGACATGCTTGGTTCCTGCCTGAAGACCCTCTTGTTCTTGGCAAAGTATGGCATCCCAGTGTCCAGGCCTCCCTAATCTGGCTGCTGCTGAGCATCAGTTGCAGCTGTGCCCTTGTGATACTTGCAGTGGGCCAAAGTGCTCAATTTGCCTCACTGAGGGGGCTGTGAGGGGTTGGGCAGAGGCATCTCCCTCCAGTAAAGAGTGTTGTGAGAAGAATGGAAGTGGTGGAGCCACCAGCAGGGTCCTTGCTGCCACCAGATCAAGGGCTTTTGAAATGAGGGTATTCCCTGGATGTTGTTCTCCTTCCTCTCTTTTATTGAATGTGTGGGAAGAAAGTGCCACCAGAACTGTAACTTTGGGAAACTCAGAGTGTTCAGCCAAAACCCTGCAGGGAGGTCAAGCAGCAAATCTCCTGTGCCCAGAATGGAAAAGAACAGTGGTGGTTCCTTCAATGCTCCTTACATTCTCAGTGCTTCAACAGAGTTATTGTGGTTCTCCTTCAGGAACTCATCAAACATGGCAGTGTCCTTCTCCATCCTTCTCTCAGCCTTTTGCAGCTTTTTTTCCTCATCCTTTGCTATGTTCTCCATCTTTTCAATCTCCCCTCGCTTCACTGCAATGGTATGCTGAAATGAGCCCCAAAGGCAACACAGTCACATCAGCTGGTTGGTTTTAAAGGCACACTGGTTTACCTGGTTACCAAATTCCCTGATAGTTGTGGGCAGAGAGGGAAAGGATTTCAGACTCAGGTGTGTGACTTAGTGCAAGCCAGGTACACGGAGGCCAGGAGTTATTTCAGAAGAAACATAGTAAATAAGCAGTGAATCTAAAGACAGAATTCAGAAGTCCCAGCCCTGCGTTAACTCCTGGCTGACAAAGATTGATTCAGTTGTGTTACAGCTCAATAATAGAGATGACTAATGGGAATGTTTGGGCACAGTTACTCCATTCCCTCATGTTGAGTTCAGAATGGCTCCCAGCCACAGTTTATGTACAGGACAGCAGGAGCCAAATATCAGTGTAACTGTGCATCTCACAAATGGGATAGTTTCATGGTGGCTACTGAGTGATGGGAATGACTTACATTCCTTTATTTCTTGGCTGGGAATTACTGGGCTACAGATTTTGAGTGACTGTAAGGCAGGACTTGGACAGTCAGTTCATGAGCTCTGATGTGTGCCACCTTGGAAAGATCTCTAGGCATTGATCTCAGGAGAATGAACATCACAACAAAGCAACACAGGGAAGAGTAATTAAATGAACAGAAAGTAACATGCTGACATGTTACATGAAAGTAACATGTATAAAACCATATACCTCAAGAAAAAAGATCTGTTTTCTGTCCTGTAGGTAGCCATGGAAGGTCTCCCTGTCGAATGCATAATCTGAAATTAGAATATAAAGTTGCTTAGACTAGAGAGGGGGAAATATGGCCAAGGCAAAGCACAATGAATATGTAGGCTGCCATGAGCATGGATCTGGCTGGCGCTGGAGTCAGCAATACTGATTATTGTATTATAGTTATAACCTTGTTTAGGATCAGTTTCATATGGATTTTCATGGAGTAAAACTAGGGAGAAAGGAGTGGACAATCTGGTCCTTGTCCTCTAGACATTAATGGCAAATCTACTCCTTACGTCAGAGGCAGAAAATCCTGCCTGTATCCATTAAAATCCAACTTTAGGTTGGCTTAGCAGAAAGTTTTCCACCACACAAGATCCTGCAACCTGCAACAACAGGATCCTGGCAACCTGCAACAGCTGGCTGCCAGCTCATTGCTGCAAGGCTGGTGGAACCCAGGCTACTGTGAGGGGATGGCCCAGGCTCTGAATGTAAATGCCTGAGATGGAGATGGCTCAGCCATGCAGGGGCTGGCAAAACACAGCACAGAACTGTGCATGAGGTCTGCATGACCTCACTGAAGTCAGCCAGAGCCAGCTGCTCTGCCCATCCCCTCTTTGGCCTTTGCTCCAGGCTGTTCCCCAGCTGAGCAGCACCACTGCAAAGACAGAGCTTGTTCTCCACCTTTTTTCATGGCTAGCTTCCGTGAAAGCATCTCCTGAAGACATTTCAGTCTCTCTTCACATGTCGCCTCTTTTCTGCTCTCCTCTTCTTCCTCCCTTTTCAAAGCTTTCCTCAATCCACTTTTTGCCTTCATTTTAATGGAGTAAGTAGTTTTCTCATGGACTTTCATAGTCTTCCTCTTTTCACGTTCCTGTGAGAAGTCAGATATGTGTACAGTTTGATCCTGTGCTTTGTTTGCTGTGGTTTTTAAAGACATGAGTAAGTTATTGACAGCCTGGAAATTTGCAGTGGTGATACTCTGCTGGTGCATATTTGCCTAGTTTATCTGACTAATCACAATAATATTCTCTCCTGAGGCAACTGAAACACTAAATTTCTTAGCACTTGTCATTTTTTGTTGATTTTTTTGTAATTTTTTTGTTGTCAATTTTGTTGATTTGTATTCTGCATCCATCCAACAGCTGTGCCAGTTTGTATCCACTCAGTGCCCTCAATTTTCCTTCTTGGGTTATTGCTGTGAGGAAATGGAAATTTTCTGAGATTCATCCTTGGAGTCCCCTGGTTAAAAGAGGACAGCTCACACTTAAGCAACTAAGTCCAACCTCTACAAGGACATTTAAACCATTAAGTTCAGATTGAAAAGATCTATTCAAACCCACTCCAGAACCTTCTGGAAGGTAAAAGGTGTTCCTGCTCAGTGTTTCACGTGGACTGAAGTGTAATTCAGTGCTGTCTGCACAGTCTGGTCCTGGTTTATGGTGAGGACATCACTCAGCAGACATCCTTAGTGCACTGCTTCCTAAGCTCTTCCCCATAATTGTCTAGTGCCCTTCAACCCAAACAAAAACCAGACTGTGTCAGTCACCAGTGTGAGGTGAGGAGGCCTTGCTTTAGAGCTCTTGCTTCCTTTCACACTATGCCAGGCTGTGCAACCCTGTGCAACAATCAGACCTCCCAGAGATCACAGAATCCCAGAGAGGTTTGGGTTGGGACCTTAGGGATCATTGAGCTCCAAAGCCCTGCCACGAACAGGAGCACCCCACTAGACCAGGTTGCTCAAATCCTCATCCAACCTGGCCTTGAACACTTCCAGGGATGGGGCATCCCTAACATCCTTGAGTGACCTGTGCCAGCGTCACCACCCTCACAGTAAAGAATTTCTTCCTGACATCTAATCTAAAGCTTTCCTCTTCTAGTTTAAATCCTCTCCACCTTGTTCTATCACAATCTACTTGTGGGAAAAGTCACTCTTTTTATAAGCACCTTTTAATTATTGAAAGGTCACAATCAGGTCTCCCTAGAGCATTCTCTTCTCCAGGCTGAACATCCCCAGCTTTCCCATGAAGAGGTCTTTGATCTCTCATGTACTAAATTTCGGTATTGGTTGGGTGGATGCCTGTCTTAGTAATTGCTTGTTATATAGTTTAGCCTAAAGCATGTGTACATACCTTCTGTGCCTTCTTAATTTCCTTGTCCCTCATTGAGAAAAGTTCAGTATCTGATGGGACTTTAAATGGATTTTTCATTGGGTTTTTTTCATCCTCTTCTGTGCTTTCTGGGAAAAAAAAAAAAAAAAAAGAAAACAAAAAACCATAAAAAAGCCAGCCCCAAACCAAACAGAAAAAAACCCCAGGATGAAGATGTAGAAGATGTGAAGCTGAATGTCTGGACCCAGTGCAAAGGGAGTGGGATGTGCTGTGTCACACCTGGAGTGTGGGCAGATGTCTAACAATGCTGGATCAAGAGCAGGGAGCTGGATAGGGCTTCTGGGAAGCCAGTGACAAAACTGAGACCTCTGTGTGGTTTGTCACTTGGCCATATCTGATGACCAACATTTCAGCCAGGGATTTTTCTGTTTGTAGCTCTTTTACCCATTTCATCTGTTTTGGAGCAGAAGAACCTGACTTCAGGCCTCTCCTCTGAGCTGACAAGGAAATGTTGCTGGAGCATTGTGTCCCTACCTGGCAGCACAAGGTGGGTTTCCATTTCAAGTTTGGAAGAGAGACTTTTAGATGTTGATGCTGTATGTCAGGATGGTGTCTTTGACCCTGGCCCAAAGGAAATAAATCAGTCAGCTGGGATCTGCCAGTAATTGATGTGATAAGTTTTACAGCTGTGACAGGCCTAGGGGCTTTTGTATCTTAACCACTGAGCCCTTAGTGTCTGTAGCAATTAAAAAAAAGCTCCATTAAACTGGAAAACACATATGTTCTGACCTCCAGAAGGAGATGTTCATCCCTGCCTTAGGTGAAAGCTGTGTAAAATGTAAACTGATAGGAAAGCAACGACAAAACAAATTTGGAGACAGCAAGCAACCCAAGTCCCTTGTCTGTTTTTCCACCCAGTCACCAGTTCTGATCCACACCCATGCTTTTTCATCCTCCTGTCAGTAGTTCACAAGCTACATTTTTACTCACTAAAATTCTTCCCAGTAATTGCTTCAGCATTGTGGATTTCTTGCAATAAGCATGAATGATTGTTGGACAGGACAGACACAATTTACAGAACTCTGTTGCCTTTCATTTTAGGTTGGCAAACTGTTGAAGGTTATTTTTTTTGTTTCTCTGACTCCGGTCTTTTTGTAGTTTTTGCTATGGATCCTAAGGGACAAGCCATAGTTGGAATGATCTCATTTACAAAGAACAGATAGAGCATTGTTAAAGCTATCCTTTAATCACCAAAGGCAGCAAGCTGGGCTTAGTGAGGTATTAGTTCAGTTGATGCAATTCTGCTGCTGGCACCATTCCTGACCTGCACTGCTATAAGACGCTGTAGAAAATATCCTCTTCTGTTTGCACTAGTTTTAGAGCTATTTTAGAGCATCAGTTTTTGCTCTGAAGAGCCTCCAGTTTTTATGTATTTTGAGCTAAACTCATCTGGCCTAATTTCCATGCCCGTCCTTGGTGCTTTGTTTTTTCTGCAGCTGCCCAATTAATAACTTATTCTTTGGAGGTGTCAAACTTTCACTGTTGATGAGACACAGAGGCTGAGGTAGAATTTAGGCTTTTGAATATATCCCAAATGTTTTCTCTCTCCTTTTCAGTTCTTGAAGTACATTTTACCAAGAACCTCCTTGACTGTTACTTGGAGTTCAAACCTCTCTGATCTTTGCTTAATGTAAGGGGATATTTTTCTCTAGGGTCTCTCATCTACGTTCTGGAACAACATCACCTCTGCTGCTGATATGAGTTTTGGAGAAAGCCCCATGAGAGCAGCGGTGGGCAGGCAGTCAAATCCCTAAATACAGTTTGTGAACCTCACAGAGCAGTTCACCTGGAGCTTCAGCCCTCAGTGCACGCCTTGATTTCTGTAATCTAAAACCTTTATCACAAGAATTTTCTTCTTCCTGTGGTTGATTTAAATTCCTCCTACAGGCAATGGGTCTGAAAAGCAGGACTAGACAGTGGCAAATGGAAAATAATTGTCAGTGGAACCCTCAGACATAAAAAGTGCTTTATAAGAGAATTTTAGCTAAGTATAGGAAACTGTATCTATGATTAACTGATAAATATTCATTTTATTAAGATATTTTTTGTTTGAGGTTGCTAGTTTTTTTATAGGTTGTTTGCACAGCACTTTGGAAATAATGCCAGAAGCTACAGAAGCTCTAGCTCTACTAATTTATAATTATTAAGCTCAATAATGCAAATTAAAAAAGCTTCATTGCCAGAATCATGTGGCATATATTTCACTGCCTCTGACATTATATTCCAGTAGCTGTGTACCACTAGTACATGAATCAGTAGATAAGGCATTCATGGTTTTCATTCACTGAAACCTTTATTCAGTGCTTTTCCCTAGCATCAGGCTGCCGAGCAAAAAAACCCAAAAACCAAAAAAAACCCATAAAAAAACCAAACAACAAACCAACAAAACCAAACCCCCACAAAACAAAACAAAAAGCAAAAGTAAATACACAGATCTAAAAACGAGTGCAATACATTTTCCCACCATGTTCCCAGAGCACAGGATGTCACTCATCTGTCCCTAGCACAGTTCTCTGCACACCCTCCTCACCCGCTCTTCTGCGCTGTCTCCCCCAGCGGTGTCACCCAGGGGTGTCACCCAGGAATGTCCCTCTCACCTTGGGGTGTCCCTCTCACCTTGGGGTGCTCCTCTCACCCAGGAGTGTCCCTCTCACCCAGAGGTGTCTCACCCAGCAGTGTCACTCAGGAGTGTCCCTCCCACCCAGAGGTGTCTCACCCAGCGGTGTCACTCAGGAGTGTCCCTCTCACCCAGAGGTATCCCTCTCACCCAGGGGTGTTGCACACAGAGATGTCACCCAGTGGTGTCACCCCGGGGTGTCTCACTCAGGGCGTCCCTCTCACCCAGGAGTGTCACCCAGGGATGTCCCTCTCACCCAGCAGTGTCCCACTCACCCAGCGGAGTTTCTGTCACCCAGGAGTATCTCTCCCACCCAGGGATGTCCCTCTCACCCTGGGGTGTCACCCAGCTATATCTCTCTCACCCAGGGGTGTCCCTCTCACCCTGGGGTGTCCCTCTCACCCAGGGTGTCCCTCTCACCCTGGGGGTCTCTCTCCCATCCAGGGTGTCCCTCTCACCCAGGGTGTCCCTCTCACCCTGGGGGTCTCTCTCCCATCCAGGGTGTCCCTCTCACCCAGGGTGTCCCCTCTCACCCAGGGTGTCCCTCTCACCCTGGGGGTCTCTCTCCCATCCAGGGTGTCCCTCTCACCCAGGGTGTCCCTCTCACCCTGGGGGTCTCTCTCCCACCCAGGGTGTCCCTCTCACCCAGGGTGTCCCCTGCGGGCTGCTCCGGCCGGGCTGTGGCTCTCGGGCCCGGGGCGGCGCGGCCGGCTCTGTTTGCGCTGCCATGGAAACGCGCGCTCCCGTTGCTCGGTGCGCGGGCACGGCAGCGCGCACGGAACCGTGGCTCTCGGCTCGGCTCGGCTCGGTCCCCGCAGAGAGCCGGGCCCAGGGCCAGCCCCCAGCAGCCTGGGCTCCCCAGACCCCGTCCAGCCCCCCGGGCTGCGGGCAGGGGTCCCGAGCGGCCTCGCTGAGGCTCCCATGTGGGCCTGGGGCTCCCTCTGGAAGGAGAAAACTGCTCCGCTCGGAGAGGTCTCCCTGCCTTGCTGCGTTCATTACTTCACTCCCCCTTATTTCAGGCCTGGGAATTGGGTGTTTAACCCAAGCGGAGCAGAGGGTTGGGGAAATGGGAGCTGGGGCCCCTGTTCGTGGAATGAGCGTAATTTATCGTTTCCTGATCTCTGCCTTGGTCTGTGTTTTTGCAAAGTGTGGACAGCCACGGTTTGGAGAGTACGGATGGGCAAACAAACTGCCATTTACTGAAAGCTGCCCAAGTCAAAAATGCTATAGAACCCCCAGCATCACCTTCTGAAATACCATATAATTTTGTAGAGGGTTTGATAAAATATTAGTTAGTAAAAAGCAATATGTTTTCATAGATGAAAAGATCCTTCAATCCCCTTATTTAACCTTTCCTGTTTCTGAGAAGACCAAATTGGTTCCAAATGGATCGTGTTCCTCTTTAGACCCTTTGGAATCTCTATTAATACAATTTCAGTTTTCAGAAATAGCAGTTGCTTTCATTTATTGATAGATTTCCAAACAGCTTTCTCTGTCTGAATAACTCATGCAATATATAGCATGAATTTCTGTAAGTGCAAACTCCCATTTGATTGTTAGAATTGTTTTCTGTAATTGCTGATTATCGAGAGACTGGATTCAGACAACAGAAGAAAAATGCTTGTACAGAAAGAAATTTTCTTTATTCTGCACATGAATACTTTGATTTCTAGCAGTGATGCAGAAAACCATAGTGCTATCTTTAGTATATTTTGGGATATTTACCAAATGCATTGAGGAGTATGTATAAAAAATGACATTGCAGAATGATTTCTATTAAAAATCATGAGTAAATTGTACTAAAGATGCATATTTTCTAAAGGCTTAATATGAAATGGTCTTTGTTCAGAAACACCAGTTTATTACAGAATTGTGAACTTGTCACAGTGGAAACATCACAGAAATAGATAAGAGAAACTAAAGACATTTGAACAGCTCTGGCTCTGTCTGGCATAATCTCTCCATCAATGAATTAAACATTTGTACAACCATTGCTCTGTTCTGAACTATCCTTGCTAACCAGTTATTTCCCAAAAGCAGAACAGAGGTTGTTTAAAAGCAGAGATGTATTTTGTGAATTCTTGGAAACGTGCAAGCTCTTCACATCTTGGTTCATTATTGGTTCACATGCCATGAGCTACTTAGGCTTTGCATTTCCTTGAGGGCACAGAAGTTTTTAAGGCCAGAAGGACATCTGGGCTCTATTCTTAGCCACCATTAACTTGGTTAATGAATGGAATAAATAGCATGTGCAACATCATGGGAAAATCTGCCTGCGAGGAGCAGGCTGTGCAGCTGACCATGCATCTCCTTAGGGGTAAGGGTGCTTCTGGGCACCCCAGGTTTTGGGATTATGAAATGTTTGGTGCCCAGCTGAGAAAGCCAGGCAGTTGGCATGGTAAGAGTGGCAGGTGGCTGCTTATCTTTCCAGGAGAATGTCTGAGATTTGGGGATTTGTGATTTTGTTAGGATACAGGATTGGGATTTCAGGATATTGTGATTTTTTTGCTCCCTTTATTTTTTCATGAAGGGGCTGCTTGTCTTCTCCATTCAGTCCCCATGCTGGTACACAGGGATGCTGATCCCCTCCACAGAGGTACTGCAGGGGTTAATTAGTGTTGGCAAAACATTTTGAAATGGATGATTGAGAAATGGATGATTGAGAGATGAAAGCTGAATCAGTCCCTGCATAATGAAATCTTTCTCTCTATGGGAAACTCCCTGTGTACCCAAGGGTGCTGCACAGGCCACTGGGCAGTCATGTCCCCATTGCCTGGAGTCTGCTCCAGAGTCTCATTTATTGCAGAATTCCACTTCAGTCTGTGTGATGTGAGCCCCAATACGTGCCACAGAGAGAACAGCCTGGCAGCAGCCAGTGAGCACTGTGGAAATACCAAATG